ATATAAAAGGCATGTACCAAAATTCAATTTTTTTCTAAATTTCCTCCTACTTGGAAAATTCTTATGTTTTACTTGAATCTACAAAGGGAGTTACTAATATTAATAAAAAGATAATTATCCCTCAGCTAATTCTTGATTTTACAAGCATTATCTAAAAACCCAGCGTATCACATGGCACTTAATAGATAGTCCCACCAAAGGCCTGTAGTTGTGTTCCAGGGATCATGGTCACAAGAGCTAGCGTGGCACCACTGCCATATCTGAAGAAATTTTAGCAAAATGAACACATATCTCCAGAATACTCACAGGAGAGTAGGAGGAGATGCTGTTGAAGAAACTGCACACTTCATTTTAACACGAGAGCACAACAGTTTGACTCCTTCCTAAGTTTCTTCATGGCATCTAGATCTTTTACATGCTGCCATGTTCTCGACTGGAGTTGAGAATCCCTTTCCCAGTATGTCTTCGTGCTGATTACAGCTACAACACTGAATGTGTGTGCGCACGTGTGTCGTGTGTCTTTTAAGGTGAGTAACGTGGAGGGAGGATAGGATAAGATAATAAAAACTAAAGAATGCAGCTCTACTCATTTTAACAAAATCTACAGAGCACCCCAACCTCAAAGATGGAAAAATGGATCTCATTGTCTCAGTATGCTACTAAGGTCAAGGATAAATAAATTGATAAAAGAATCTTTTGATAGTTCATTGAAATTTACTCCATGTAGAGTCTACTTTCTAGCAGAAAGTCTCTCACTAATTTAAATCTGAAAACCTAGAAAGATGCTCTGATTATTTCATAATCAAAATTAATTCCTTGGAATGCATGCCCTGGGTTTATAACGACTTAGACTTTTCAAAGCATTTTCAGATCCATTACCATGTTAGAAAGCACTGATACCACAAACACCAATCTACATTTGGTCTTGGAAAAAGATTTTCGTGTACATATTTTGTCCAAATATTACTATTTGTTTCATGAAAGTCAAGGCTAAGACTTTACTAGAGTGTAAATTTTAAGCCAATGAATAAACAGTTGGCTTCAAAAAACATTAAACTGACATGCAAAGCATTTGTTGCTCTGCCAGGTTCTAAAAATAAAAGCGACGTCTGCCAACGTGGAAGAACTTGAGTATTTTGGTTGGTTCTGAATTTGACTACCAGGTTTCACTAAGTTCATTTTCCAAAATGGGGCCTGACGTTAATGTTATACTCTTGTTTCCTTACACAGTACCTCTTAAAACAAACTACTCACAATTGGCATCTTATTTAAATATTAACCTCATATATTTTTTATAGTGTAGCAGGACATACCTTTCTAAAAATGTGGTATCTTTACCTGACAAACGAAAATTTGAACATTTGAAAATCAACCTTCATATTTTAAAAATTAAGTTCAAACTTGTCTTACCGAAGAATAAGCTAAGTTATTAAAATATTTAGATAACATTTTAGACAACAGGTATCAGGGAAATCAGGAGATTTTAAAGGTGCGGTTTTAAGCTGTTAGTCAAGTTCAGGTAACATTTTATTCCTGTCCTTGGCCTGCTCCTCCCTCAGCTGTCTCTCTAAAAAACAATAAGCACGTTTAAAATATGGAGTTTTGAGATTTATGATCAGTCGCAAAAACCTGCTTAACTACTGATTTGCAGTTTTGGCCAAGGTTTTTAAGTCTGTCATCAGAACTAATTACAGCAAACCTGAGATTATATATTCAAACTCTTCTTTTGGTGAAAGAATAGAATGTTCTGCTGAAAATCAGAAACACCCTGAGGGCTCCCAAAGAAGAACGCACTATCAACTTTAATTCTCAGAACCAGTGCTGCAAAGCTCAAAATTACTGTTCTTTAGTAAGGTGTTTTAGCCTGAAGTACTCAAACAGTAAACTGTAGTTACATTAATGCCATACCCATGGCCTGAAACATATTAATCTCAGTTAACAATACCTGACATTTACATTACTAATCTAATTCAGTCATTCTGGTGGTAGTAAATGTACATGTTAAAGCTTCGGGAACTGAAGTTATTACTGATCCAAAAAGAATCTTTATTTCACTGTGACCAGACGGAAAGGACAAATGACTACACTTTGGGGGCAACCTGGGTTTTCTAAGAATAATGTCCCCATTTTAATGCTTTAATGAGTAAAATGTCTAATTCAAATTAAAACAGATTAAAAGTAAAGTGTTCCCAAATGACATGCCAGCAGGGTTAACCCAAGAAAACCAGTCCCTTCCTCTCCCTCAAACCCTCTTCCCATCCCACCCCCTCCTCGGCTGCACTGTTTTAGAGCCTTTCAAAACCCAGGCCCCGAAGAGTGGGGCCTTAGGCGTCATGGCTCCTCTTATCAAATGAATCCCCTGCTACCTGATTCCACCATAATGCCATCTACTCAGGGAAAAAGCTCCCATCCACGTGGGACCTCTGAGTGCGGGAAGTGGGCAACCTCTGGCCCCAGAGCAGGCGGAAGAAGAAGGGTCAGGGGAACTCTGGGTTCAGGGGCTCCCAAATCAGACCCTAAGGGAGGCCACTCCGGCAAGGCCTCAGCACAAGCAGAGTGGGGATGTGCCTGCAGGGGTCACTCACTGCTCTAAGGAAGTGGATCCAGGGGGAAAGGGGGGCAGAGACTGCAGGGAGATGCCTGTGCTGGGGCCCTATGCCTGAGAATACTCATACTACCTGCCTGCTCAAAGCGAACATTTTTCATGTTTCAGACAAAACCACTGGATTGTGTAGCGGATATTTCCCCCATGAAGGATTTTTTCAGAGGAAAATTTCCTATACTCTAAGTCTGTATTCACCTATAAGGAGTCTGAAATAAGATGCTGTAGCTAAGCAGGGTATGATCATATCCACAGAACCCAACAGGGAATATTAAATCATAAAATGTTAGATTTTCCAATATTTAGTCTCTCTCTCCATTATGAGTTCTATAAGAAGGTACACAATCTCTTAAAATCTTGCTTTCTCTATTATACTGGCTTTTGTCACCTAAGTGGAAGCAAGATACTATTTTTGTTCTCGTAAATAGCAATTAGTTGCTCACTTATTCCAGAACACAGAAAAATAAAATATGCCACCCCAAATAAGTAAAATTTGATTAACTGTTTGTAAGTAAATAAAAAAATATGCCACCACAAATAAGTAAAATTTGATTACTGTTTGCCGATTCAGGGGACGCGGGTTCGTGCCCCGGTCCGGGAAGATCCCACATGCCGCGGAGCGGCTGGGCCCGTGAGCCATGGCCGCTGAGCCTGCGCATCCAGAGCCTGTGCTCCGCGACGGGAGAGGCCACAGCAGTGAGAAGCCCGCGTACCACAAAGAAAAATAGAATAAAATAAAACAAAAATAACAAAATAATACTACTAGTAATATCATCATGACTCATTTTCTATGTTCCTGAATTTATATTATCAACCTAGAGAGTTTGTGTCGGACAGCAGACACCTCTGATGAAGGCTGAAGAAGGGAAGAGACCTGATGAAAGCCACAATAAGCAGTCCTTCACCTCCACTGGGCACCAAGAGGAGGTGCCAAAATACCTAGGCCTACCCCCAAATCACAACATCCAGCTGTGGTCTTGTCCATCAGCTTGTGACAATTTCTCAAAGCCCCTTCTAGTTCAGACTACGAAACACACTTTCAGTGAAAACCACTTCCCAGGGCACCAATCCCCGTTATCCTCATTCGCTCACTCAGTCTCTCCAGGAGTGATGGGGAAGAGGAGAAAAAATAATCAAACCATGTTTGTTCTTAGAAGGTTCAGAGTTACACTGTCTTGAGTTATAACTGTCTAATACTATTATACCAATTTCTCTTCTAAGAACTATCTCATAATTTAAAGAACGACATGGCTGAGAGAGAGATTTACGAAGACACTTCCAGGCAGAGAACTTGAATTTAAATCATCCTCTAAATACTACATTCTGTCCTTTTTAAAAACTGTGATATTTAATCTGAAGGTACACAAAAATTAATCAATTGCTTTTATTATGTGACTGTGAAATATCAACTCTACTGTCTCCAATAAAGAACCAATAATTACTTTTATAACATTAAGATAAAGTCATTTGTGAAGACAGTATCTTTCTTGCACTTATGACTAATCCATTATAAACAAATGCCAATCTTAAAAACACAGCTCCAGAATAAGTGCAGTTACACTGAGTACAGATAAGAAAGTACAAGGAGCTCATTGGCTATGCTACACCAAGTGGATGAAAAGTAAAATTGATTTTATACTGGAGGTCTATATAAATAAATAAATAAAATCCTATCTTTTTTTTTCCTGTATGTATGCTTAGATTTCTTGTACAAACAACAGAATGCTCCATTTCATTCACTTCAGCAGGATGAACTCTTTAGAAAAAGACTGAAAAAAGATTTGATAATCAACTTCCAAATTTTATGCTTATTTTTTTCTATTTCCATCAATTTTCCAACATAGTTAACATGAACAGGAAAATCTTTCCAGTAAATTAAGCAACTGAAGACTCAAGTGAAGTCTCAAAGGTCTTGAAGACTCTGGCAAGTCACATATATCCCATGTTGCTTTTGGTTTCCCACCTCTTCTTTGCTTCAAACCTAAAATGAAGAATATGAAAATCCCAATTTATTTCTAAATACTTTCCTGAAGTAACATGTTTACTAAGCGCCAAAGTAAAATAAACTTTAAAAGTTTTCACATACTCCATCAACTACAAATAAACATCGAACAGGAGGAAGAAATGCCTCCATATTTATAATCTGATAAACATTCAGCAAAGATACAAAGAATAAAATGAATAACAATTACACACAAACTGGATTCACCAAATATATCACAGGATTTCTGTAATTCCTATGAATTTAGTAGAATTACTAATTTAAAAAAATCTTGAACTCACCCCCAGGCAAGTTTCTTCTTTTTCCGAGCAACCTGTGAATTTTCAGCATCCTTTTTGGCTTTTACAAAGTTGTGGCAGGCAATCGCTTTGGCAATTTTTACACCAAGCTAAGAATTACACAGGAGGAAAAGTGAAAATAAATATTCTAGCTGATACAAGAATTACAGTGATACAAATACTCGAGAATTTGTGGGTATGAAACCCATGTCGGCGTTGCTTTAGACATGCTAAGAATAGAAATTCTTATGCTCGGCCCCCAAAACCACCGAATTACAACAAATACAAAGATGTAGCTAGCCCCTATTCTCCTAACCTCCCACAGAACTTTATCCCAACTGTACCAGCCTCCCAGTCTCCCAGATGGAACTCCTTCCCACACTAAGGCCCGTCGAGGGTCCACGAGGGCTGTGGATGAAGATCTTGAAGCGCTTTCAGCATTTCAGTAGGCCAGACAGGAATTTACCCCGATAAGGCTGCACAGGCTGACAGAGACATCCAGTTTCTTTGCTCTGGGCTAGAATTACAGAAACTCAGTATGGGTGTACCCGTTATCTCACGCTGATCAGAAGCTCAGATTGGCAGTCATAGATGTGATTAATAAAACACAGGAAAGCTAATTACTACTTCATAAACACAGTTTGTGTGATGGGCAATCGCTTGTCACTCACTGATAGAAAAAGGAATACAAGGGGTGCCAAGAGGCAAAGAGGCGGGGCACCAGGACCACAGTACCGAAGTGTTCCCTCTGCCAGTCGCCCGTGCGTGCATGCTCCCCCCTTACACCCATCTACCCCAGTGCTAGAAGGTTGAAGCAGAACAAAGCCTCCTCTCACCCCACCCCCGGAAGACTTCTCTAACTCAACCCAACAAAGTCTTTATTTCTTTATTTCTCTAGCCCTTCAGCTTCTGTGCCATAACCTATGGTACAGCTCTCTGGCCACAGAGCTGTTCCTCGGTGAGCGTCTCCAGGACAGGCATGGTAATCCCCTAGTTTTGGTGGGCTCTGATTTTAAAAATGCCCACCTATATGGATGGCTCAAAAGTATCTGTTAAGAACCCAGGTTAAACAACAAAGGCTAAAAATCTCTTCCTGGTATTTCTTTCCTTTTCTCTCTCTGTACACAGCCTACTGCATTTCAGTAGCCAGCAGACTTGTGGACAAGAGGCAAGGACCCAGAAGCTGTTCTCAAGTCAAAGTATTACAGCCCAAGGTTTAGGGACCTGCTGGCCAACAGTGAGGCACGGCAGGCAGTCAGGGGCTCGTGTGGAAGGAGAGAAGCCGACTTAGGAAAGTGAGGTTTGACATGCCCGACACTCCTTTCAGCTCATCTTGGAGAACAGTTTCCTTTAGAATGAAACAAACAAGCAGTCATCAAGCACTGACCGGGGTTTATAAATGAGAACAAAAACAGATCTGATTTTTCAGTCTAGGAAAGAATACACATAAAGAAGGTAAGTAAACGGAAGCAATATGACAATCAAGCCGGCGTGCTGAGGTAGTCGACACCAAAAGGAAAGCCACTGAAGGAAGGAGGGTCGATTGTGGCTGTGAGCCCACCTGGGAAAGCAGACCAACTCGGAGCCTTCCTGACGCTCAAGCCAACACTAGCAGCAGCATCTTTTTTCACAAGGACGACATTCATTCAACCAATATCACGAGGGCACAAATGCATTATTTTGCCAGGCACTGTTGCAGGCGCTGCAGATACAGCTGTTAAAAAGAGGGCTTCGGGGGCAGGCGGGGGGGGGGGCAGCTGGGGAGAAGGGGTTGCCAGTTACATCTGACTGCTTCAATCCCGGACCTGTTCTTTTGGCTCTCTTTTCATTTCCAGTTCTTTATTACAGAAAAATTCATATAAGTCAACTATAAAAAAGGTTAAGAATCAAAGGGCTGTAGCATCATCGTCTAAGGAGAAAACGAAGCTCTGGAAGAATGCTCTGGAATCATTTATCACGAAGATGGATTTCCTATCAACTGAAACACCATTCACTTGTCATAAATGTAAAAACATCAAGTTACGCCTGTCTGGTTAGGCTAGTCAAAACTGCAGTAACAAACAAACCCCCAGATCTCAGTGGCTGAACTTTTATTTCGTGTTTCACTTAATGTCAGCTGTGACTGGCAGGTCTCTCCATCTTGTGGTGCCAACATCTCAGCACGTGGCTTTCAAGGCGCTGTGGCAGAGGAGGAGATGGCCAGAGGGTCTCACACTGGCTCCTTAATGCTTTAGTCCAGAAGCGACACACAGCGTTTCTGCTCAAAGCCGTCTGGTCAGAACTACTCACAATTCCACCTGGCTGCGAGGCGGCTGGCCACAGGGGTGCTGGGGGACATCAGGGGAACACTAAATGCACCTAATGAACTGTCTACTGTCATAACATGCAGCTTGCCGCCTGGGTTTAAGAGGTACACTGGGTCTCTCCACATTCGTGTAGGATATTTAGTCTCCTCTCTGTCCCCCACCTCCAAAAGATAAAACACAGAACTCAGTATTTGCCTATCTAATTATATTCCTATGTTTTAGACAGCATATGCAAATTTGAAATATGATATAGTTTTGCCAGGATCACCCCCTAACTAAAGTTCCACTCAGCTAGTTTATCTTATATTTAAATTGAGCCTATACTTTTGAGCATGAAACAAAAATGACCTGAACAATATTTGCCATGTACCATTAACCCCGTGACAAAATTATTTCCTAAAACTGTTGTAAATTAAGATGCAGCTTACAGTTTTAGCTTATTGAAATTTCCCAGTATGGATTTTCTGGTTTGGGGATAGACAAACCGAAGAGCATCTCAGTGTGTCTGGACATTGACCGTGGTCATGTGATTTAAATGGGGCCTCTTCAACATGGTCATATACTCTTACAATGTAAAAGATTTTAGTTTTCTAGCAACACGAAGGACAAACCCAGCACAATCAGCATCACAGTGAAGACTGAGAGCACATATGCCACAGAAGACATAGCACAAACTTGTTAAAAAGAATTCATTACAATGTAAGAAACATGTATTTACATGAGAGGGCTCCATCGCTTTGTAGACTAATTAAATATAGTAAATGATTAGGTACGTAGGCCATACGTTCAAGCAGACCTGTTTGTAGGAAAGGTATATTTTCTAACTGTATTTTGCCTGGGGTTAGGTTCAATGAAATGTTCTTTAACTGATGAACATTAAACAAGCCTGGTCTATGCATTTTACAGAAAGAATCTTTTAGCTTGTAATGATGATGAAAAGTCTTATCAATGTTGTGTCCTTCCCATGCTTAAAATGAATGTTTCACTTATTCCTGTGGAGAAAGTAAAAAGAATGGAAATATTTGGAAATATGGAAGGATCATGAGATCTTCTATAGAAGACACAGTTGAGAAGAAACATGTTTTCTCAGGCAAGATGACCAGCCCAAGTTCCAGAAGATAAAAGAATACCGTGCTATGTTTCCGTATTACAAACAAACAATATAGGCCCACAAGAATCCCCCTTCTGCTTCTCTAAAAAGAAAAATGCATCTTCGTGCCCAATGTAAACATCACAAAAGCTTGGTCAATGGTTTTTATATTAAAAAACTGTTTCAGGTCATCAGATAACTATAGCAACACAATGTGGGAAGAAATTTTTTTAACCAAACAAAAATATATACAGAATTTCTTGCATGTGTAGCCAAAGTATCAGCATTTTCCATATAGAACATCCAATATTTTGCTGCATTTTAATTAAGGTGTCTAAACATTATCACAAAGAACTGCAAATTGGTCAGAGCAAACGGTAAGGAAAATTAAGCTCTAAAGGCTTTTTATCACCATATTTCAGGAACCAAGGGTGTAAAATGTTCTAATTTGGGATATATTAAAAGCCATAAAAGGTCTTTCAAAAAGATTAATGGTACTTTGCTTGGATTTAAGATAAGGGCTTTAGCTGGTTGGAAAAGCAGGGCCCTGGCTGGACCCTTGAGGCATTCATCTTTACAGCCACTTGGAAGATTTGTAAAAGCGTCTGCATAACCTCAAGCAAATGCACCCGGCGACATTTTTTTAATTCCTTTCAATTTTACAGGTTTAGCATGCGTAAATCATATTGGGTTGTAAAATAGATATAATGGCACATCTTGTAACACAGTAGAGATTTTTAAAAGACAAACTCGCAAAATAAAGTTCATTTTTCTTACTAAACCTTGCCCTACTGAAGTTTGCCGGTAATCATTTGAAGCATCTGATTCAAACAGCTTAATCTAGCATCACTGTAAACTTCTTATCCATTTCATAAAATACTTTACTCACCTTTGAATTACTAGCTTGTAACAGATTTATGAAGTTTTCCTCCCTTCTGAACACTTTCAAGGCACTTATTTAAAAATACCAATTATCATACTTTAACTTTTGATGGAATAATAGGTCTCTATGAAAAAATATTTATGCCATTCTCTTTTGTTCTTTAATTAAATGAAAACAGATGTTTTCTGAAGTAAAGCTGAACCATTACTGGAGCACTTAAAGTGTTAAGGTCTTTAATTTCTATATCAGTTTGGTCGACAATTCATGATTGTCTTTACTCGAGCTCAACATTAATGTCAAGCAAGTTACCTAGGAGACGAAAGAGATCAAAGAGACAAAAACCCCTCCAATGTCTGATTAATCAAGCCTGCAAACAGCTTATTTCTTTTCGCCTGCATGCAAGTATGAAAATGAGATTCTGGGAGCCGAACATTGTGCAGATTTGTTCATTCTTATCAGAACAAAGCCAGCGGCAGCTTATTTCATGGATCATTGGCACTGTCATCAGTGCTACACAGAACGGGTGACAGCTCCTCATTTTGAGGCTTGAACAAAATTAGCAAAAAGTCGGCACAAATTAGCCTCTCATCTTTTTGGTAATATGACATTATTCATTTACTTTTTATCCAATTTTTAATTTTTTCCTTGTCAGCTATCCCTTTCTAGTGTCTCCTGCATGGCATCACAAAATGCCTTCTTAGAAACAAGCAGAGAAATAGCCAAAGTTGGAATAACATGCAAAGTTCAAAAAGCAAAGAAGAAAAAGCACTTCCAAGGACTGATGATGCTTTATTTTTTTTTTTTTAGTAACTTTCAAAACTTTGCAAAAATATTAACAGCTCAGAACACCATGCAGTTAAGGAGTTTTATGAAATCGCTAGTATATTTCAATAAAGAAGATGATGTGGCTAATGTATTTCACTCAAACCACAATTTAACATGGCAGGTGCTACAGTAAATTCAGGATGTCTCCACTCGGATTGGTACCTTTCTCTCCACGGTCATACCTGAGATGCCAAAGCTCTGAGGACAGCAAATAAGCTCTGCCATATCCAGTCATTTAAACACTGACTGTAAATCAAGTCTTTCTCTCTCTGTTAGAGGAAACAGCCCAATTTCACTGTCATCTTAAAATGTGCACACACAGGTTTGCATGTTTGTGTACTACTTACATCTATGTTGTATGCACAACTGTACAAACACCTATTATTTATTTTTATACCTACAACTTCATTATC